GGCAAGGGGAGAGACTGAGCAGGTGAAGTGCCAGCTGTCCCCTCCAGGTGCTCACGATTTGCTCAACACACCTCCCTGTCCACCGGGTACCCGGCCTGCGCCAGTTTCCCGCAGAGCCAGGTGGAGGGCAGATGGCTCTTGTGGCACATGAATTAAGGGAACTTGGCTGCTTCTGCCCACTAGATGTAAGCCCTTGAGCCAAGGCTCCCCAGGAGGCTCTGGCCTCCATGCAGATGGCAGAGACACACTTGTTGATATATGTTTGACGGCTGCATGAGTCAGACGGCTGCTGAATCAGAGCCCAGAGGAAATGCGTGATTGAAAAGTGGGCCGGTTACAGAGCAGCCAGCTCTCCACGAGCCATGGCGGGTTTGAACTAGAAGATTCCTGGCTTCTTAGCCGTGGGAGGTGAAGGAGCCCTGGATGTTTTGGGATTTGGCAGGAGTGCTGAGACCTGGTCCCAGAGGGGGAGACCTGGGCTGGGAGGTCAACAGAGCAGGAGAGAGCACGGGAAGGGAGGGGAGCTACAAGAGCAAGCTCCCACGGCCATGGCCAGGGCCACGTCAGCCCCTCCCACAGCCACAGCCAGGCCACGTCAGCCCCTCCCACAGCCATGGCCAGGCCACCTCAGCCCCTCCCACAGCCACTACCAGGCCACCCTCAGCCCCTCCAACAGCCACAGCCAGGGCCACCTCAGCCCCTCCCACAGCACCCAGCCAGGGGACCCTCAGACCCAGCTGCTTGAGACTGAGAGGGCTCCAGTTTCCAGTCTCTGGACTTTGTTTTAAAACCTTGAAAGTCCCAGGAAAACTAGAGTGAGTTGTTTGTCCTATCCCGAGCCTCCCAGCCTGCCAGCGCCATCTTTCTCAGGCGACCTGTGGGATGGTGGAATGGCCACCCCGTCTCGCCTGAGGCACGGGACAGGATTGCCGAGTGTCTGTGATGCTGACGGAGACCTCACATAGCTCTGGTGGGCAATCACTCTCCATCCTCAGCCAAGCGTACCAGACAGCCACCACCGCATCTGGAACGTGTCCCCACCCAGGCAAAGGCGGAGTGCAGGAGGGCACTCCGGGCCATCCTCCTCCCACACAGCCCCTCCAGCTCCCTGCAGCCACCAGGCTGAGCCCTGGCCTCTGTGGAATGAAGTGGGTGCACGGCACGAAATGCTCACTGCAGGCTGCTGGCCAAGGGGCCCTGTCGTGCATTTCACACACAGGGAACTGGGGGTCCAGGCCTGGTGAAGCTGGGATTCAAAACCACCTCCTCTCCAGCCTGTCACCCAGACCTGCCCTCGGCATCCCTGGCCTTCCCGGGAACTCTCCCCTGCAGCGGCTGCTGTGCTCATGGGCAGCTGCACCTGCTCCGTATTCTGTTCTCAGAACACAGTTCACGTTTCCAGAAAGCTGGCTGAGATCCAGGGGACGACCTGGGGATGTGGGGGACAAGGGTGCCGATGGCTGAGGCTTGATCCGCCTATAGGGCAACCCCCAGAATCTGCCAACAGCCCCAGAGATGGCAGGGGTGCAGCCAGCTTGAGGCTGGAAGCGGTTCTGCCCTCCTCGCCGGCCTGCTAACACTCACTACGCGAATACATGGGCACCTGCCGCTCTATTCGTAAAGATCCTCCTTGGAACACCACACGCAATTTCCATGCTGTGGGTGGGAAAATCTATAGCCAAGCTCTACCGATTATGTATGTTACGTATCTTCTGTGCCCCTAATTCCCCACCCGCCTTCATCCCCATAGGAAATCGGCTACTGATGAAATAATAAATACTTGTTTTCAGCCACTGCTCCTGGGGCATTTTGTTAGACAGCAATAGATACTGAGAGAGGTGTTATTGTAAACTCACTTTGTTTTTCAATATAGCAAGAAGGCATCCTGCTAGCAACAGTGGTTGGGGGCCTGCGGGAGGGGAAGCACAGAGCCTCTCCTGCACGGGAAGCCTGCTGGCGTGGCCTCGCTCTGTTCACCCCCACATGTTCTCCAAGAGTGCAACGGAAACCCACTGAGCGCCAACTACCTACCAGGCAGCATTGGAGGAACTGGGGGTAAGCTGGTCAACAAAACAAGCAGGGACCCCCCACCTTAGGAGCATGCTCCCAGGGACCGCTCGTGTGGTGAATCTTCGGACGTGATTGTCACCCCAGGCACAATGTCATTACTTGCTTGGTAATGAGGACATGGCCTTGCTCACACCACTCGGGGAATCACAGAAAGCCAGAACCGTCCCCTGTGCGTGGGCTGCCCCTCGTCAGCACTCCCGCTGCACCCTAGAATCTGAGCCGTGGTGTCAGCGGGTCTTGGCCCTCGCTGCTCATGGGACCGGCCGGCTCCCCTCCAGCAGGCAGCATTGGGAGTGTTGGGATCGGGGGAGCATGTCCCCAAGGCTCTGCAGCTTGCAGGAGACACTCACCCCTGCAGCCCTGCCCCCCACAAGGCCGTGCCCAGCTTCACCTGTCAGTGAAGGCATCAGCCTGGCCAAAGGCGTGACTGCATCACCAATGGGCACAACACGGCCCCGCCCGGCCCTTCCCAAACGCCTCACCGGCACTTTCTTTAAAGAGTCTCAGCTGTTTAGGAAGGGCTCCTGTCTGTAGAAATCAGGAGAGAAAGAGGCAAACAACGTGAGGTTAAAAGCTTCCAGCTGCTGAGCCATCCGTCTCCTGCGTGCACAGGAGAGCTGAGAATGGCCGAGCGCACGGTGTGGCCGCCGGGGACCCTCACCAGGGACCCGCTATACACCTTGTATAGAGCAAAGCCTTCCAAGTGACATTTTCCTATGTGCTTTTAAGCAAATGCTCCATCACAATATTTGCACTAAATTGCCTTTTATGATTTTTTAAGGTCCCAAGCTAACTCAAAGATAAATCTTTGAAAATAAGGGCAGCTTAGCCAAAAGGTCAGGGATTGAAAACCAAACAATGAGCTTCGGCAGAGGAAGCGCACGGTTCTGCTGCGTCCTGCTCGGGCTGGCAGAGCGACAGACCCCAGTGCCCATTGCTGTGGCCTTCCTCTTTGTGGGGGTCTCAACAGAGGCACCTGATGGCCCAGCCCATGGTCAGGCCCCAGGGTTACGAAGACAGTGGTGAGCCCCTGGACTCCCTAGTGTGGCGTGGACACTAAGGTCCCCCCGCCCAAACCTCGGTACGCAACTGGTGAATTGCCTTCCAAAGGACAAATCCGGCCTATTCCAGCCTACTCCAGTGATGGATCACCTCACCTCACACCTGACAACCCATTCAACCTCGTTCATTCCCCACGGGGACCCATCGGGAACAGCCCTGCCCTTCATTCAGCCACTATTCCTGTTTTACAGACGACTCAGTTGAGGCACAGAGACACTAAGGACACTCGTCCAAATCTGAAGTAGCGGGGCCATCTGCTGGCTTCTGAGCCTGCTGTCCTGGCTTCCAGCAAAGGGACCACTGGCGTTTCCTTTGATGCCAGGATTTCCAAGCTCAGATTTTTGTGAGCTGCGGCTCCCTGAGAAGAGTATCAGCTTTGGTTGAACAGACCAGCCCAAATTGGGGTGAGAACGGAGTCCCACTGCCAGCCATCAGTTCAGGAGCCTCGAATTCTCCCAGCTGGGCGGGTCTGGGAGGCGGTTTCTCAGCCTCCTGCTTCCCTCAACATCCTGTGACCCCCACGCCAGCCTGGCCAGGTCTCCTGCTCCCAGCACAGCAGGTGCAGCCAGCGACGTCCAGGAAGGCCAGGCTGGTTCCCGGGCTGCACCCGAGCCACCCCTCCCACCCCTGCACACAGCGGGCAGCAGCTCCACCCAACCTCTCCAAGGGGTTCTGGGAGGAGGGAGCAGAGGAGTGGAGGGGAGGGCCTAGAGGAGCGACAGTGGTGGCCCCTGGGCAACCCAGACATGGGGGGCAAGCTTGTGCCTGGCCACCTATGCCAGTGCCGCCAGGTGCTGGGGGCAGGTAAAGGACAAGAATCTCACTGTCACCTGGCTCCCGAGCGGGGATGGAGGCCACCCTGGGAGGACACTCAGAGGGAGAGAGTGTGTCAGGTGCTGGGGCTGCCCCTCCCAAATCCTGCTGGGGCTCGGGCTCTCAGGGTGATGTCGATGACAAATCCAGGCAGTAAAAAGGGGCCCAGAGGGTGCCCACTCACACCCCATAGTGTCATGAGACCGGCCCAGGGTGCCAGGTGTGGGCCCTGAGCTGGGAGGGTGCTGTTCTGGGTGCGTGCGTCCTGCCTTCCCCCATTCACCCCTTCCCAGACTTTGATGAAACCATATGTGGCTCCCGCCCTCTGCAGGACCCAGCTGCCCAGCCCCTGCAGGTGTCCGCAGTACTGCCTCAGGCCATCCTGCCCCAGGTGATATCTATGCTCTGAGCCCCCACCATTCCCACTGGGCACGTCCCAGAAATAACGCATCACAGACCATGTGTGCCCATGACTGCTGCCAGATTTTAAAAGGAATTGCAAGAAATGTCATCTCCAGTGGTCCTAGAGTCCCCCTGGCACCCAGCTTCCGGCACCCTGTGGACACCCAGGAGTGGGGGGTGGCCCAGCCAGCTGTGCAGTCGCCCAGCCCTACCAGCGGGAGCTTCCTCTTTCCCTGCCCTCCGATACACCCTCACTGCCACTGAGCCAGCCCGGGTAGGGGGAGGTGCCCAGTTCCCTTCCTGTCGGGAGCGAGAAATTGCGGAGAACAGGGAGGAGGGCGGCGGGAAGGGTCCGGTGCACGGTACCGGCCGCACCCGCCCAGAATTCTGATTCCCTGGAGCCCTCACCCAGCCCGCACTGCCCCGGGGAGTGCGAGTGGGGGGGTGACCCTGCAGGCTGCACCCGGGCGGGGCGGGGCGGGGACGGCGACGAGGGCTGCTTCTCTCCTCCTCCGCCCCCCACTGTTGGGCGCGCCGCGCGGCCGCGGGCTCCGTGGAGACGCGCACAGCCCGGAGGGCGGGGGCGCGGCGGGAGGTGTGCGGGGGCCGGGGGCGTGGAGAGCGCGAGGGAGGAGATTGCGAGCGGGGGAGGGAGCGCGCCGGGGCAGCCTTGCGTGCGCTCCTCCCGGCGCCAGCAGCCCGCCCGGCGCAGCCCGAATCGGTCCGGGCGCTGCCGCCCGGGTGCCTGGGTATCCGCGGGGTTTGGAGATCGGAGGCAGCGCGAAGCCCGCGGCCAGCACGGAGCCTGGAGACGGCCTGAGGAACCGCGAGGTCTGGAGCCGGGAGCGCCGAGCCCGAGGCGGCGCGTCTGGGTCTGCGCTTCCCGGCTGGACGGCGCGCCCGCTCGGCTTCGCCACGCGCCCTCCCCTGGGCTCCCTCTCCTGGGTCCCCGCCAGAGACGCGCCCACTCCCGCCCGGACTTCCAGCCCCGGAGGCGCGGGACAGAGCCGCGGACCCCTCGTCCTAATGCGCCTCAACACCTCCACGCCGGGGGCCCCGGGCGCACCTGCCGCCGACCCCTTCCAGCGGGCGCAGGCGGGACTGGAGGCAGCGCTCCGGGCCCCGGGCTTCGGCAACGGCTCGGGCAATGCGTCTGAGCGCATCCTGGCGGCGCCCAGCAGCCACCTGGACGTGAACACCGACATCTACTCCAAGGCGCTGGTGACCGCGGTGTACCTGGCGCTCTTCGCGGTGGGCACGGTGGGCAACGCGGTGACAGCGTTCACGCTGGCGCGGAAGAAGTCTCTGCAGAGCCTGCAGAGCACCGTGCACTACCACCTGGGCAGCCTGGCGCTGTCGGACCTGCTCACGCTGCTGCTGGCCATGCCCGTGGAGCTGTACAACTTCATCTGGGTGCACCACCCCTGGGCCTTCGGCGACGTGGGTTGCCGCGGCTACTACTTCGTGCGCGACGCCTGCACCTACGCCACGGCCCTCAACGTGGCCAGCCTGAGCGTGGAGCGCTACCTGGCCATCTGCCACCCCTTTAAGGCCAAGACCCTCATGTCTCGAAGCCGCACCAAGAAGTTCATCAGCGCCATCTGGCTGGCCTCGGGCCTGCTGGCGGTGCCCATGCTGTTTACCATGGGCCAGCAGAACCGCAGCGCCGACGGCCAGCACCCCGGGGGCCTGGTGTGCACGCCCACCATCCACGCGGCCACGGTCAAGATCGTCATCCAGGTGAGCATGGGTGACCACCCGCCAGAGCGCCCCCCCCTCCCCGTTTTCTCCAAACGCAGTGCCAGTGGTGTGCCTTCTGGGTGCGGGGCATGGGAGAGGTCACAGAGACAGTCTCCTCCTGTGAGGCTGGGAAGGTGGTTGGGGCAACTTGGGGCAGCTCCAGAGTTGCCAGGCTCAGCTCCTGTCTTCTCCCCTCCTGTTGAGGGGATGGAGCCCATGCCTGTGACCTCCCTGGAGTCCATGGCTGGGCCTTGGACGTCTCTGAATTCCTTAAGATCTAATGGAAACTCATACGTGCTGGCACCGGCGTCGCCAAAGGAAGAGGCCCCTTTCATCAGCTTCTCAAAAGGCTTTGTGTCCCCAACAGGTGATGTTCCTCTCCTCTGCAGAGCAGCCCCAGACTGGCTTTGCCAGTGCTTCCCAGTTGCCTCCCCTGGCCCAAACATGGGAGTCAGTGGAACCTGATGCTACCTTGGGCCAGTTCCTAGTTTAGCCTCAGCTTTCGGGTCTGCATGATGGGGTGGTCATGGCATTGACCTCAGAAGGTAGAGCATTCAGGAGACAACGCGTGGGAAGTGTTTGCATGGCCCCTGACACATAGAAGCGCTCACAGGTGCCATTAGTGCTGGATGGTGGGGACGGTGTTTCTGCTGGGAAGGCTGTGAGGATCTGTGTGTGGCGGTGGCATGTGGTAAGGTGCATAAACCTGGAGCCGAGCGGCCAAGGGCCCTCCTAGGATCTGAGCAAAGCGCCGTGGGAACGCAGGTGGGAAGGCCCCTTGGGAATCAGTTTGGCTGAGAGGTGCGTGGCATGGGGGGCTCCAGCGCTGGAGCAGAGGGCTGGTCAAACCAAAAGCCCTTAGCGGGAGGCTGGTGTCCAAGAAGGAAGTCAGGGCGGGTTAGGCACTTTGAATGACACCTTGGACTTGAGCAGCCTTGGAGGTGTGGGGTTTCCCCCATTCTGGGTGGGCTAAGGAAGCCATGGAGTGAAGGATCCAGGCAGAGTTGCCCACCTCTGCCCAGTTTGGGTGGCTGGCATTCCCCCGGCTCCCCCCACACCAGCATCGACAGCCTCCCAGCTGACCTTCTGTAGCTGCCTGGGCATCCCATGTATGCCAGTTTGCCCAGTGGGGGGAGGCAGCAGTGCCAGGCAGGGTGTCACCTGCCTGTCACTCCCTGGGCCCTAACTGACTCTCCACTGGCCACCACCCTGGTGGGCTGGGGGTTGGGGGGTTGGAACTAAGCTCCTAGTCCCCCCAGCTGCTTGTAGAACTCGTGGCTATAGGTGTCCCATCAGGGAGGCCCCTCCCACAGGCACTGGTGGGAGCAAGAGTCTGCAGCGAGAGGCCCTCTGTCACCAGAGGCAGCAGCCACTCAGCCCTTCAGACGGCGGGCAGTGGAGGGGTCAGCACTGTCACTGCTCACCCAGGAGGTGCCCCTGCTCAGACACCCACTCCGCCCTCTCCCCTGGCAAAAGGCCAGGAGCTCACAGGCCTCCTGCAATCCTCAAAAACAGCTGCAAAGCACAGGGGTGTGAGCACAGCTCAGCTCCGGCCCCCAGAAAGCGTCCTTCCCTGTGCTCGGCCTCTCTGCCGGCCGGTCACTTGGGACTGGGCACCTACAGGACACCCCTTCACCTCCCAAAGCGCCACCTGCCCAGCCTTATTGCTCAGAGCCTGCGAGGCAGATTGGGCCAAGTTACGCTATGTCCAGCCACGGTCACTCGTCCACTCAAAGAGGCCGCATCCACACTGGGACAGACCCCAGCCCTGCGGACGCGGTGCTGGCCAAGCATTGCTGGGTGCTCCTGGCCTCCTCCACACCCTTGGAGAACGTCGTTTCCATTTTTCTTTAACGGGTGGCTGATTACAAGGGCACTCCTCCATCCGAGGCTGACGGCCTGGGGCTTCCCAGGGCCCTGATGCCAGCTGCTATGTGGCTTGAAAAGAACATTGCTCGTCAGAGAGGCCTGGCCTCCCTCCACCCCGCCCTGCCATCCGCCATTTCACGAGAGGTTTTTCCAGATGAGGGGGTTTATGTTCCCGCGTGGGCTTCTGGGCGACTGGCACATCTGCATGAACAGCTGCTGTTTTCAGATGGGGACGTCTGGCTGAGGAGGGCTGGATACCCTCAGGGAGGTGTCTCCCCCTCAGCGACGTGTCTGGAAGTGCTGGGGCAGTGGCCAAGCAAACGGCCCTCTTTCCAAAATAGGGGTCCCTTCCTGCCTCGGTGTCTCTGCAGAATTTTGGCCTGGGCACCTGCAAACAGAAATTGTGTTTGGAAATGAGGCAGCTTTGTGAGAACATTCTGGAGCAACAGGATGATCCTCCCTGAAGCTGGCTGGACACTTTCCCGAGTGTGTAGCGGGGGGTGGGGGTAGATAGTGGAGCTGCGCTCTCAGGCCAGCAGGCAGGACCCGGTGCCCAGGACCCTCCCAAAGGCCCCAGACCTGGCCCCGGTGCAGCAGGGCGACTGGGAGGAGGTGCTGGGGGCTCAGGGACCTACAGGATGCCCGACCCCTTCTCTAACCCACCCGTACGTGTGAGCCCGCACAGGCAGACGGACCTTGCTCCTCGTCTGGTCCCCCATGGCCGGGGCCCAATCTCCCAGCTTTGACCTCAGTGGTGAAAGGTCCTGGTGGCACGGGCTGTGTGGCGGGGCTCAGGGCTGATGGCGCAGGCTGTGGACCAGCAGAGTCCCGCGCTCATCCATCCGCGGAGTGTGTACTGAACGTGTGTGTGCCCAGGACCCACAGTGCCAGGGGCCTGTGAGTTCCGGTGTCACATTCAAATCCGATGAGATGGCTGCAGCCTTTGAAACAGTTTGAGAGACCCGCCCCCACCATGGCCACGCACAAAAGCAAACCCCCCCAGCCTCAAAGGCACGAGTCCATTAGACCCTCCTGAGCGGCCGTGAGGTGCCTTTCACCATCCTTCATCGCTGCCATTTCCTGCACCAAGGGAGCCCTGCTCCTGCGGGCTCAGCCTCCCTGTCTGCTCCTTCGTTTCCTCGGAAAGCCTCCTTGACACTTAGTACAAACAGGAGTGCTCTTCACTCAGAGGGCACCTCTCCCTCCCGGGACAGAGGGGGCCTCGACTCCTACAGGAGAAACTGGTGACCACAGCCCCTGCTACGGAGGCGTCCAGGAGCAGACAGATTGCAGGGCAAGTTGGCCAACACCCCGGCCGTTCAGGGCAGAATCCCGGGAAAGAGCAGCACTGAGGCAGGGAAGAAGACGGAGTCCAGTGATCTCGGGCCACGGATTGTTCCAGGGCTCCGTCCCGTGCTCCAGGCAACACCCAGCAACCTCTGAAGGCCACACCCTTGTTCTTAGGAAAAATACAGGGGTGTTCAGAGTGTGGAGTCTGCAACTGATTCTCAGACCGTTCAGAAAAAAGGGCGTGGCCAAGTGGAAGGAGAGCAAGCAGGTAAAGAATCAAGTGAGGGACCACTCCCGGGGCCACGGGCATTGGGCTGCAGACCTGCCGTGGGCAGCGGAGTGTCCGGGGTCTTCCTCCTGCAACTGTTCTGCAGCGGGAACGTTTTCAAGTTAGAAAGTTGCAGGAAAGGCCGGGCGACGTGGCTCACGCCTGTAATCCCAGCACTTGGGGAGGCCAAGGCAGGCAGATCACCTGAGGTCAGGAGTTCGAGACCAGCCTGGCAAACATGGCGAAACCTCATATTTACTAAAAATACAAAAACTGGCTTGGTGTGGTGAAGGACGCCTGTAATCCCAGCTACTCAGGAGGCTGAGGCAGGAGAATCGCTTGAGCTCACAGAGGTTGCTGTGAGCGGAGATCGCGCCACCACACTCCAGCCTGGGCAACAAGAGCAAAACTCAATCTCAAAGAAAAAAAAAAAGAAAGAAAGTTGCAGAAGAAGGAGTTCTTGGAGGGGTCATCAGGGACAGAGGCGTTTACACCGGGGAACAGCCTGCCCCACTCTGACCTCCCCTGGGGACGGGGAGGGGCCCACACCATGCAGCTGTGGGCAGCTCCCGCTCCAGCTGTGGCAGCCACGGTGTCCTCATCTCCAGCCCAGGGCGTCGAAGGCTGTTGGTGCGGGGCCGAGAGTCACACACTTCCTCCAGTCGGAAAAGGCCAGGACCCTGTAGAGGAAAACAAGGGAGCATTTTCTCTGCCTTTTCTAATCAAAAGGTAGTTTAGAGTGTCCCAAGAGCAGAGGAAGGGCAGTGTGTCGGTCCGTGAAGAAGCAGTGGGAGTCTTTATTAGAATACCACCATCAGGCACAAGCCTGATAAATTAACAGATGGACCGATTCTTGACAGCCGCCAGTGTCACGAAGGGGAGGGAGTTAGGTGTGAGGTGAGCCCTGGTGTGCACACACCCCGTGACATCCTTGGATCAAAGCCACTGAATCTGACAGAGCCCCTGATGCCGCTGCCACACACAGGACTCACCAGAGACAGAGGAACATGGACAAAGGCCCCATTAGGATCCAGCCAGCAAAACCCAGACCACAAGAAACGCCTCCAGACAAACAGTGAGGGAACCAGAGATGGTGGCCTTGATTTTTTTTTTTTTTTTTTTTGAGATGGAGTTTCGCTTTTGTCACCCAGGCTGGAGTGTGATGGTGTGATCTCGGCTCACTGCAACCTTCGCCTCCCAGGTTCAAGTGATTCTCCTGCCTCAGCCTCCCGAGTAGCTGGGATTACAGGCACCCACCACCACGCCTGGCTACTTTTTGTATTTTTAGTAAAGACAGAGTTTCCCCATGTTGGCCAGGCTGGTCTTGAACTCCTGACCTCAGGTGATCCACCCATCTCAGCCTCCCAGGCAGTCTTGATTCTTAGCAAAGGCTTGGACAAGTCAACCTGTCACACAATCCTGGAACCAAAGCCAATCGTTCTTCATGCCGAGAAGCAGCTAAAAAGTTTGGGGAGTTGAATGGCCACAAATTCTTATTGTCCAGAGTTATTGTGGGTATGGTTTTCAAAACGGTCCTGATCTCTTAGAGGTACATACGGAAGTGTTTACGGAC